CCCCTTTAGTGACAATCAAGTTCCCTTTGGCGAGTTTCCATTCTCAAGAATCAAATTGGTTATTGTAACCACCTTCTTTAAGAATCTACACAAAAATCAAATTAAAAAAGACATTTTAAGCATGTTTAACTCCTCTAAGAAATAAATACATCTCCATATTTGTTTGCAAGTAAACATCACCAATACCAATCACCTTGGACACGCCAACATTATCCATCTTTAAGGCTCTAAAATCACCTGGAGTATAAGAGATAAATAAGTTATTCTTGGTTGTAATATGTATTTTAGCACCACTATCAATTATCCACATGCTCTCGTAAGATACAAGATTAATTGTATCAGGATCAAGGAGAATAACAACATCATTGCTAGTAGTAGCAATCACATGATCACCATCATCATGATACCTCTCTATTAAATTTGGTCACATTTCTGGTTTTTATTTTCCTTCATCCACAAAAACTAATTCTTTTGTATGTCTTATTTTGTGATAAAAGTTACACTTCACATTCTTGTACCACGACCTGAACTCACTCTTGCTTTTATCTCTAACACCCTTGTGTTCTTTTTTCTGGCTTCACCTTATTTTCAATAGTAAGCACCTCTGAAAAAAATGAAGTACCCTATGTCTTTTTTCTCATTTTAAGTTCACCACTCTTTTCCATTTTCAAAGAAAATATTACAATTAAGGGCATCACTAATCATGAATACTCGAAATGTCTCTCATGAATCAGGTAGAGATTATAATAGAAATAGTGCCAACAAATATTCACCAAATTTTAAACCCACTCCAGATAGTTGATCAAAATGCCCTTGAAATTCACTCAAGTGATTTATAATAGGAATCCTCTCTTTGTACTTTAACTCCACAAAATTCTTCAACAAGTACCATTTATTAGTCCTTAATTTGAAAAGCATATAGGGACTAAAGCTTATCCTATAGGATTCTCGAATGTGTCTCATTAGGAATAAATTGTAAACTTTATCATCCACAAATTGCCTAATAAATCCACACACTTGTTGATGCTCAAAATCTCATTCTTCGTCAAGCTTAGAATCCAGCTTATTAGCAGCAAAAACAAGAAGTTGCAAATTCATCACAAATAGCAAGTCCTTGATGTTCCCTTTTGTAGGCGATAAATTTCTCCATTCAAAGAAATAATCTTTGTATGTGTCTCTGTCATTTAAGCAATCCAAACAACTCCTTAACTGAAGAGCTTTGATGCAATTGTGATGAGGGAAAGTCCAACACAATAACAACTTAATAAAAGAGTAATATTCAGCAAAAATAAAATCTCCTAACTTGCAAGAATCACCAAGGAGCATAAACAAAATTGAGAATAAGAAAAAAAGATAACTCAAACCTAAAGAGACACAAAGATTTTTAACATGAAAAACTTTTCAATATAAGGGTAAAAATCACGAGTCGTTTAGATCAAATAAAAACTTCATTATGATCAACAAAGGGTGCAAGAGAGTCTCCAATGAATGCACCAAACAATTGCTTTACAATAAGTTTAAAGTATGCCAAGCACAATTGCTTACGAATGAGAAACAAGAAGAAAAACCCCAAAAATAGTTGCTGATATGAACAACCTTTCTTCTACTCCAGACCTCCAATCTAGATCCAACCATTGAAAACAAAAATCCACCTATGACAAGCTTGTTGCCCAAATTTCAGCTTGACCAATTGGTGAAATCTAAAAAATGCTACCCAGTGCAAATGCGATGCACAGTGAATTTTTTTCTTTTCGTCTTTCTGTGTTTTTTGTTGTTCTCTCTCATATTAATGCGTCTCTCTCAACTGTAATGTAACCCATTTTTATTTAGTTAAGCGAGACACAATAAACTTACACATTTGGATCTATTCTTTGCAAGAAAGGAGTCCAAAATCCTACATGACACGCCCGTGATATGGTGACTCGTTGATAATCATGTACTTCTACATTACTTTAAATATTTGAGATATGTGATTTTGAACTTACCCCACCATGCATATTTGCGTTAGGATCTAGAATGACATAGCATGACATGAATTAGTTTAATATACGAATGGTCTATAAATTGAATATCGGTATGTATATAATTTTTTTTGTTACTTGGCCTTTGTTTCATACTAGCTAAGAGCATAAGTGAAATATATCGCACTTAATTTTTTCTTTATTTATTTTATTTGTGTTTGGACTAAATGTTACTTGCAAGTAAGGATTATTATGGTGTTGATATCGGAAGGGGGGCTA